GCCTCACCATCAGGGGCGACTCCCAGCTCCTCGTCAACTTCTCCAACAAAGCGTACAAGCCGAAGGACGAGCACATGGAGGCATACTTCGAGGAGGTATGCAAAATCAAGAAATGATTCTTGGGCCTGGAATTGCAGCATGTGCCGCGCGACACGAACAAGGAGGCGGACGACATCGTCAAGAGGGCGTCACGGCGACTGCCTCAGGAGCCTGGCGTCTTTGAGGAGCGGCTCTTCAAGCCATCGTCAGTTCCCCCCGCCGCGGGTCTAGCACCGCCTCAGGAGGAGGTCCCCCAACACCCCTCTCGGGCGCCCCAGCCTGCGGCCCGACCTTGGGAGCCTGCTCCTCGCGCTTGAGCCTCAGGAGGGGTACTAGACCGAGGAGTTCAAGGCGTACCTGCTCCAAGGCACCTTGCTGGAGGAGGAAGACGCAGAACGTGTGGCCCGCCAGGCCATCGCGTACTGCATTAGGGACGGTAAGCTCTATCAAAAACGGCCAAACGATGTTTCTCTACAATGCATTTCCAGGAAGCAGGGATGCGAACTGTTGGCTGACATACATGGCGGGGACTGCGGGCATCACTCTTCATCGCGCACCCTCGTGGGCAAGGCGTTTCGCAGCGGATTCTACTGGCCCACGACGCTCAATGATGCCACCGAGCTGGTAAGATCCTGCGAGGCCTGCCAGTTCCATGCCAAGCAGATCCACCAGCCCGCCCAGGGCCTCAAGACCATCCCGCTCTTATGGCTGTTCGCGGTCTGGGGGCTGGACATCCCGGACCTGTTCCCTCGAGCTCCTGGGGGCTACTGCTACCTCTACGTCGCCATCGACAAGTTCACCAAGTGGGCCGAGGTAGAGGTCGTCCGCGCCATCCTGGCCGGCTCGACCGTCAAGTTCATCAAGGGCCTCGTGAGCCGTTTCAGGGTCCCTAATCGCATCATCACCGACAATGGCTCGCAGTTCACCAGCAACCTCTTCAAAACATATTGTGCTAACCTTGGGACGCAGATATGCTACGCTTCGGTGGCGCACCCTCGGAGCAATGGCCAGGCTGAGCGCGTCAACGCCGAGGTCCTGAGAGGCCTCAAGGCAAGAACCTTCAAGCGCAGGCGCGGAGTCCCGAGAAATTAGCCAAAGGTTTTCATTTCCATGCAACAAGATCAAGACTGCCAGGACGGCAGGACGGAGGTCATCATTGAGCCCACCACGGTGTCACAAGCAGAAGCTTTGCAGGCAAAGACCACCTTTCATCAGGATCCCTTCCCGCCTCCATTTTGGGGGAAAAGGACCAAGGCCATTATAAATATAGGTTAGCCACCACCATAGGAGGGGAGATCGATCCGAACCCTCACTAGCTCACACCAACACAAAAACACGCCTCCTGAGGTGGTTCTTGCACTGTACTAGTTCATCCTCAGCCCATCTCGAGGCTAATCCAGCACAAAGCAGGAGTAGGGTTTTACACCGCAAGGTGACCCGAACCTGGGTAAACTGCCTTGTCCCATTTCCGTCCTGTTCATCGAGATAGGCTGTGAGATCGACGAGTAGGCAGACTGGGAAGGTTGAGTTCTTCGCACGCACCCCAGAGTTCGAATCTATCTAGGGTCCGCGGAGCCTGGAATCCGACAATTTCACGTGCTGGTAACCGAATTAATTCAATTACGATGTTTAGCAGGAATTTTACTACAAGTCATTAGGAGAGTAGGTAGTACAGGGCGGGACGGAGGGTACGACATGTACATAGTAACGATTTAATTTCGTTACTTTTTTTTGCTAGGGATTTTACTATAGAATGGGAAAGATGATTAGTTGGTATGGCCGAGCGGCGCGTTTAGCCTGGCCGGAGCGCAGGGTTAGCGTTTTACACTCACACTCACTTAGCGCCACCGTATATATATATATATATGGCAAAGGCTCATAAGCGCAAGCAGGATAGCGAAATATTACATCCAGAGGTCATGACCCAACATAACGTCAGTACATTACGAAAGCGAAGTAGGTCTGAGTACAGACACGTTTAACAACATTCGCCTAATGAGGCCAGAAAGTAAAGCAAACAATCCCATCCCACGAGGACTCAGGCTGCCACCTAGGACCTCACTCGGCGTAGAGCTCAATGGTGCATCCTGTCTCGGAGTCATAGTAATCCTCTGCAGCGTTGTTTGTAAAAGCAAGTGAGAGTAAATGACATACTCTGCAAGACTTACATTAGATCTATACTACACTACATATGCAACATTCTCAAAGGGAAGGGGTAGGGGGTTGAGCGGCTAAGCCCTAGAGAGACACGCTACAACTTGCGTCTATCAGAGATAAGGAAAGAGAGCGTTGAAAAGTAAAGGAACATTGTAGAACAACTACTCTATTCACCTACCTAACCGCAATCATAGCACAGCTTTGCATTCCCCTAGTACCATACAATTATCATACACAAGGTTTTTGTGTGCCTACAGAGAGGGATCGACTCGGCACTTCTGCGGAAAAGTGCAGGGAGCCACCCAACTGAGTTTTACCAGAATCAAGAGTCCGATCATAGCTCCGAGTCGGACCTAACTGTTGTGCACAGGGCGCAAGATGTCTAGAGCCATATAGGATAACCACTTGGAGGCGTTCCTATATGTATGCAAAACATCAGGGGGTAGAGCCATATAGGATAACCTCCCCAAATGGTAAAATTAACAACATCATATGCTTACCGTTGAAGACCATGAAATATACAACTACGCGTATTCCAAATGGAAAGCCCGAACTAAAGTGGCACGCGAACTGGTCTGTGGGCAGGTAGTAGGTCAAGGGGGCCCCCATTAAACCTCCCAAGAGTGATTAGCACGCTCAGTCTTGGACCAAGACAACAAGAACTTGGGTCCTAGGGCAGCTCGAGTGGAACAAAACACCAATGTACTAGGCATGACCTCCCATCGTTGCCTTTATTACATGTTACATATAAATTATCTCCAGAATACTGTAACATAAATATATCAGAGCCAGGTTAATACGTGTGATATCCTGGAAGTTACATCAAGTAGACATGGCATAACTTAAGCATAACCCTGAGCATGGCATACTACAGCAAGATAAGCAGGGCTATAACATGGCATCAACACAAGCAAGTAACATGGTGACAAGAATCATGCTACGCATCGAATAGCCATCAAAAGACTCACTACATCATCGAATATGCAAGCAACAGGGGGAAAGCATGGGATCAGAAATGACCAAGGAGGTTTTGCTTGCCTGTCGGCACAGCCGCTTGGTACTGTGCAAGATCCTCAGGAGCGTAGTCGTAAGTAGCCTCGTAACCAACGTCAGTACTACGATTTATCGGGAAGAAGCAAATATCGACAAAGAAGAAAAGTAACAACCATAAGCTTCAAGGCAATGCCCAATCAACATTATGCATGACATTCGAAAGTGATTGTATTAACCTACAACTTCACTACTCACCAAAGACATAATGCAGTTGGTTTTCCAAAAGAACTTCATATGCAATTTGAAGTTAAAATTGAATTACTAAACAGGATGTTAAAGTTATTTAACTTGCATAAAATGGCATAAATGGATTCTGCATTTTTCTGGTCATTTTAGATATAAAGACTATATCTTTCTGCGCTATATTTATTTGTTGTGATTTTAACAAATTGAACAATGCATTATTGAAATTTAATTAAAGGAAGCAAAAAAGAATGCAAATGACATGAACAGAGAGGTTACAATTTTAGGAACATTTTGATATGCAATATGCGTTTTACAGATTTAAATTGAATTTTATTTGAATTTAGGAAAAACCGCAGTTTGCAAAAAGATTAAACAACAAACGAACGGGCAATGATATTGGGCCGAAGTGGTGCGAGGAATAGCTAAGCGCCGCACGCCCGCCACAGCGTAGCACGCTACTGGGCTGAGGCCCATCTGCGGCTTAATGATCTGACTTGCGGGACCTACCTGTCAGCCACACAAAGAAAATCAAAACGGATAAGGGGAGGCTTGCTTCGATGGAGATTCGAACCGCAATTGCACTAACGAATTCAAGTGGGGCTAGCCATTTGGATCAATTCGTGTTCGTGCTGAAAGTGGGGCCCAATCTATTTTGATCTAATCCTGGAAAGAAGTGGTGTTCTGTCATGGCCATGCGGTGCCGCTCACCAGTGCCGGCAACCATTCTTGCGGCGGCAGCACCCCTGCTCGATGCTACGGTGCCCAAGAACGATTGGCGTGTGCATCAAAACGATGCCCGCACAAAGGCAAGTTGAACTATATCATCCAGGCAAGCTAACGGAGGCTATCCTTGAGTTTGACCGGAGCCGAACGTCGTCGGGCAGTGGTGCTACGAAGGGCCTTGAAATCGAGCGAGATCTGCAAGGAAAAGTAGGCCCAGAGGCTCACCTTGAGAGTGCCGGCGGGCCAGAGGATCACAAAGTCGAGCTGTGGAGGCATTGCTGGCGAGGAAGAAGACGTAGCCAAGTCGCGGTTCCTGGGCGCCATGGTCTTGGGCTTGGAGGCGATGTTTGAGGTGGACTAGACTAGTTCCAGATGGTGCAGAAGGGCTTGGCATGCTGGTTATCCCGCTGCCATCGAGCTCGACCTCTACTCGGCCATGGCGCTGGTGGATTGCTTGGAGTGGAAGAAAAGAAGAGTGGCACAACCTACCTAGCAGTGGCGGACATGGTATAGGAGCTAGGCTAGGGTTTCCGCGCGGAAGGGTGACTTTATAGGGGCTGATGTCGGGACATTCAGTGATATGATGACATTATGTCATGACGATGCCAAAATAAAATTACCCCGGGCTGTTGCAGTATAGAATTGTTGTTCAGTTTCTTTCTATGATCATAAGTAAATCACTGCAGCTGTTTTACATAAACTGTTCATGTGAGCTGTCAAGTGTTTACATAAATCACTGAAGCTGTTTTTACAGAAACTGTTTGCTGTTTTTAATGTTCTATAAGTGCCAATTGTTGGGAGTCAGAAAGTGCACCTGTTTCATGATTGTGCTTGTTTTGCAGGTGTTGTTGGCCTGACCCCGTTGTAGGTCGCTGGTTTCCATCTCTGGTTTTGCATCTCCAGTCATACTGGTTTCCATCTCTGGTTTTGCATCTCCAGTCATACTTGTAACGACGCCATTCTCGTTTTACCTGGATTTCAAATATCGGATGCTTAATAGTTTCTGTTGATCGTTTGTATCAGTGTAAAGTTGGGTTTATCAAATAAATGTTTGCACACTTTCGTCTTGTTGAGCTATGAAGCGTGAACTCGGGAATTTTGGTGTGCGTAAGCTATAAAATGCTCAAAGAATTATATTTGTGGATGTCCTTATTTCCAAACTCGGTGTCAATAATATCATTGTTACTCCGCAAAATAAAAATAAAATCATTGTTGTTTCTGATTTAGTTCAAAGAGAATATTCCAGGTCAGCGTTAAAACAAAAGCGACAGGGCTTTACAAAAACCAATTCTCAGTTTTTTTTTTTTGCAAAATACAGTAGGTGATTGCTTTGGCCGTTTTGATGACGATTATGACTGTTGGGGTCTGGGTTTCGCTCTTGCCAACGTGGCTAACCGGTTTGCAGGCGACAGATAGGGCTAGGTATTCTTTCGTTTACCCTTCCTGCCTCTCCTGTGACTTGATTTGTTCCCTCTTGTTCTCTCATCTCTCTTTGATATGTTGACGGCGAAGTGTGGTGGCGGAGACGACGACGCAATAGGCCTTGGTGGTGGTGGAGACCCTATGCCATCGGAGGATGCTCGCGGGGGCTCCAACCCGACCTAGTTGGTGCACACCATGATGCCACAACCATCGCTCGAGTACGTGGAGGCGACAACTTGGGCCATGGTGTCAAGGCGACTTCGATGGGAAGCGACCGGTGGAACTCGGCATTCGGCAACATTGAGTAAGCACCTCCTCTTTCGAAACCTAGCCTTCTTTGTGTGTGCTTTAGATTCTAGGGTTAAGGCGACTTCAACGGGAAGCGACCGGTGGGCCTAGCCATTCGGCAGCATCGAGTAAGCACCTCTTTCGAAACCTAGCCTTTGTGTGTGCTTTAGATTCTAGGGCTAGGGTTCAAGCAAATTAGGGGCAAATGAACAATTTGTTGATCTGTATTTGTTCATTACACTAGGTTGTTCATAAATAAATAGGAATTGAATTTGTTAATTTACAAAAAATATCTTGCTTTTATGTGCATTGTTATGTGTTTATTTAACTTGATGTATTAAACTGTAAGTTATGGTTATCTTGTAGGTTGTTTTTCAAAGGTAATGTATATTGTACACTATAGGTTGTTCATAGGAATTTAATTTGTTAATTTACAGAAAATACACTATTTCTAAGGTAGTGTTTTGTCTATTTAACTTGATTTGTTAAGCAGTAATGTTTATTGCTATTAAACACTAAAGTATGTTGTTATTGATTTTATAAACAACAATGTATATTGTACTTGTACACTCTAGGTTGTTCATAAATAAATAAGAATTGAATTTGTTAATTTACTGAAAATCCCTTGGTTTTGACAGGATGTCTTTGTCTATTTAACTTGAATTATTATGCAGTCATGTATATTGTAGGTATTTTTGTAACTAAATTAGCAATAGAGGTTGGTGTAAAGGCATTGTTTTGTTTATTAAACTGTTTGTTTTTCCGTCTTTGTCTTAGGTTTGGATAATGATGTTTGGGAAGTTAAAAGTACATTTTCATGACAGAGATAACCTTGAGAGGACCATGTGCATTTCAGACGTAACAAATCATAATCTGATAGAACTCATAGAGATAGAAGGATATGGTTCTAGGGATTATATGTGTTTTGTTAGAAATGTTGGTGTGGGGATAACAGGATTGGAAGAGACTAGTGATGATGATAAGGTGGATGAAATGCTTAACCATATTGCTAATGAAGATAAGAAGATAGTTAACCTCACAGTCACTAGGGTCCCCGATCCAAGACCCGTTGATCGAACAGGCCATTCTACAGGGTGATTCGGAAATTGCGGAAGCTTGGTTTGATCAAGCTGCTGAATATTGGAAACAAGCTATAGCGCTTACTCCGGGAAATTATATTGAAGCACAGAACTGGTTGAAGATTACGAAGCGCTTTGAATTTGAATAAGACCATGCTCCTTCTTTTTCATAAAATGGGTGGTTTGGTTGTTGATCCATTAATCAAAAATAAATGCCATGTTTGTGAGCAGCAACTTCCATTTAGTGATTTTGGAGAGACCACCATGTATGAAATAATTAATGATGGAGTTCTTTTCATATCACCATCCAAAAATTTAGACGGAGCAACACAAGTTCAGCACGCAAATGCACTCTAGTTATACTCCACACAACAGAGCTCAAATCATGGTATGGAGGCTGGGGATGCTATGGAGCAAGATCATCTTGAGAAAGACCATGTGGTTATGGAGGAAGGCAATGCAATAGAGCATGATCTGGATCAAGAGGAATTGGAAGAAATGCTGGAGCAAAACATGAGAACAAAAATTTAGAGGTTTAGGAATCACAAGAAGCCAACAGAGAAGGTGGAGTTAGTCAGAAGAAAGCTTCTAGCCCTTTTGACTTAATATGATTTGATTTGGAAGAGTATGAGGAAATAATTACTAGGCTAGATGACATGAGGAGGCAGAGAGAGGACCCGCTCTTTCATTTTGAAGGAGACACTGATGTGGATGAACTGTATGAGCCAGATGAGGAAGAGGAGAAGGACGAGGAGTAAGTGGGTGCAGAGGAGGATCTTGATGATGGTTAATATGATCATATGATGCTTGTTGATGGTTTATATGCTTAGGGTGCGTTGACGTCGACGAAACCACTAAACCCTAGAATCACTGACTCAATGCGCATTACTGTAGGTTGGTCCAAACGCGATAGTCCAATCAGAGACCCTTAGACGAAACTGTGTGCGATGCATTAATCACAAACGGTGATATAATAAAACTGTCAAAAAAGATGCAAAACGTTTGCGATGGCGGTGACATGAAACACAATTCAGATTAGAGTTGCGGGTGCGGTGCGTGGTAAATGGTTGATCCAGAAGAACTATTTGCGATGAGGCAGAACAACAGAAACAGGTAGCCAGATGAGGGTGTGTGCGATATACGACATACAATTCACTAGGATAAACTGTATGTGATCAGACAACACAATAGAAACGATCAGCCAGATCAAGGTGTGTGCGATGGAGGGCATATAGTTCACTCGAATGAACTGTTTGCGATGAGTCAACACAACAGAAACAGTTCAATTGAACAAGATGTGTGTGATACGCGGCAAACAGGCCCGTAATCAGAAATATGTGCAAAGACCAATAATAACACAGATGATTGCTTCTAATAAGTCGTGTGATTTGCTCTGTTTACATAGGAATAACATATCTCTACCCCTAATGGAGCAGTTGGTAGCCTGGTACAGTTTATTTCGTTCGTTTTTTCTTCGTCCCACCTCGCACCACCTCCTCCCACTGGTTTTTCTCCCTCCCATTAAAAAACCAAATCCCATTAGGGGATCTTGTTTCATGCTTCCTTCGGTAGGTGCTGATTCAATTCAACTATGTAAACAATAAGTAATTAAGAATTCAGAAATTGCACCATATATGTGAGATCACCTTCCTAAAAGACAGACATAAGATTTTTCTCGATAACCTTCTATAATAAAATTAGATATTTCTTCATAAAAATCACTAATCCCACACGCTATGTATTTATTATCATTATCTCTACTATTAATTGAGAATCACAGGTTTCATATGGGCGCACACATCCGCGCGCCCCTGCGAAGGGACGTCGTGCACGACACCATGGAAGATGTCGTGGCCGGGCCTATCGCTGGCACGGTGCTTGAGAATGCCAAGGAGTGGATCACGGCGAGGATGGCTGTGAGGGGAGGCGGGTCATTAGACCGCCACGTGGACGTGATCATATTATATTTCTTGTAGAGCCAGACATGCTACATTCTCAAATCAAGTGTCCATTTAAATGTCCATTCTCAAATCAAGGGAATGTGTCCTACATTACTCGGTAGTCGTCATCATTGTCGTTTGTAGCAGCCATTCATGCGAAAATATTTTAAAAATCGAGCACTAAATCAATTTCGAAATGAAACCATTGATGCAATTAATTAGCTAGACACTTAATTATGTATGCAATTAATTAGGTCCATTTCAATAATCAATTTGGAAATTGAGTGATTAATGCAATTAATTAATTTGTTAGACAATTATTTATGCCTACAGATAATTAGAAGTAGGGATATTTTCCAATTAGTCAGATAATTGATTGATCTGGTTGTCAGTTAATTAGGCATTCAGAGAATTAAGTAGGTCGTTAATTATTTGTGTACTTAATTAATTAAGCAAGCAATTAATCACGGCGAATCATTTTGAAAGCACTCGTGGGCAAGGACGATCAATGGGCTCTAAGCTACATGGCCAAGCATCAAGCACCGATTGCCAACATGGACAATGGCCACCATGCGCTTGCGACATGAGCGACCTAGCGTTCACCAAGATCAATGAAGACTATGCTCTGCAGTATGTCCACAGGCTGATGGTTGCCGAAATATTCGCGGGTGAAGACAACACAGACAACACTAGCTAGGTGGTTCATGCAATAATAAGAAGAAAGAATGTTCCAAGAACAAGAAGGAAAAAGAACTAAAGCCACCAAATGGTCCATGGTGTTGGAGAAAGAAAAGAGTGTTCCAAATAATAAGAGAGAGAAAAAAGAAAAGTATTCTTGAAAATTAGTAGGAACGAGAACTAAAGCTAACGAGAAATGAGAAAGAAGAAGATGGGGCGTCGATGACGATAACACTAATGTTGACGTGGTGCTGATTGGCGTCAATGAAATGGGTTAGCGAAGACGCGAGGAGTAGAAGGTGTAGGAAAGACGAGGAAGAGAAGAATGACAATTATCCCTTCTAGCATATGTGGGATGGAGGTGGAGCTTATTTGCGACTAGGAATACGTTCATGTTGCCACTCTCCTCCAATGTCAATGTGCATTTGCAAAGTGTCAATAGTATGTTGTTAGTTTAACCC